TAATAAGCAGTGAGGAATGGGTTCTGTTGAAATCATTGAAATCGTTATACTTGAGTCATATCGATCGCATTGTTGTTGTGAACAGTGAGGCGAATTTTCCCATGTTACCCTTGTCGCTTTCAACTCCTATCACTTCCGTCACCCGCTAATAATATATTCTCGTCCCATATCACTATCATATCACCCTATATCACCTCTCGGATCCAAGGTACTGTTGCTGTAACCTGTGTTACGAACTTGATGACCCTTCCCAGGCCCCTTATCGGATCTTATCAACTGTTATCACTTTCTGTCACCCGCCAATAATGTTCCCGTCCCACACCCTATATCACCTCTCGGATCCAAGGTACTGTTGCTGTAACCTGCGTTACGAATTTGATGACCCTTCCGAGGCCCCTTATCGGATCTTATCAACTGTTATCACTTTCTGTCACCCGCCAATAATGTTCCCGTCCCACACCCTATATCACCTCTCGGATCCAAGGTACTGTTGCTGTAACCTGTGTTACGAACTTGATGACCCTTCCCAGGCCCCTTATCGGATCTTATCAACTGTTATCACTTTCTGTCGCTCGCCCATAATGTTCATGTCCCACACCCTATATCACCTCACTGAGATCCCACTTTTGCTCATGGTGGGTGTTTAAGATCAAAGAATTTGCGAATAGGATTAGCTTCTTCTAGAAAAATCAGAGAATTGGCGAAAATATATAGGATTTTTATTGAGTGGAAGAAGTGAAGAATAAAGAAATGAAGAAGAATTCATCAGTGATTGGGATACGGAAGAATCACTGTCCTATCAGCATAGATACATGGTTGACAGCGAAACAATCAAACTGTTTCCAATCCTTTTCGCCGCTTTTCTAGCTTTCCGACTCTCCATATCATTCCATATTAAGTTCTTCTCGCGTACTTAAACCTCCCCAATTTCGGCATAATGACTACCGAACGGAACCTGGAAAGTCCTCACTGCCTTATCGAGTTCCGTTCGGTACTGAACGTATCAAGTCTTGTATCAACTCACAGCCGAAAATTGTCGCGTGCGTATCACCCCGAGGGTGTCATGAGGAAATCCCCAGAAGATTTATAGGTAATTTACACATTGAGCATGTGTTGCACGATATACATCATGCGCCCACACGGTGAAAGATTTATGTGACGTTCCGAACTTGTCACTTTAAAGTTTCGAACTTGGATAACAAAATGTATATCAGTGCGTGCCACTGTGACACAGAAACGTGTGTACAACTAATCAGATGGAAAATGGGTCTGACAATGAGGCCGTATTCTTCCACTTCTTCAGAACGGATCCCACCTAAGTATTCTGGATACAAACCTTCCCTTATATCATGTGACACTCCGTTGCCCAGAACCCTATTGAAGCGGGATTGTTAGAATGAAATGCTTACCAAAGATTCAGTGATATTGGGTAAAACAGAAAATGTGTTGAAGTCGGGAAGTATCGCAGATACAGGAACTATCGCTATTTGTTTTCCTGATGAATGAGCAGTGAGTCGTTTCGTCTAAAATGGGAAATAGTTGGAAAGTGCACAGAGTGAGGTTTTCATGCAGCGCACTTATGCAGTCAAATTCGCTGCGGATGATGGGGCGTGGCAGCGCGTCTGCGTTTGACGCTGTGGCAACTCGTTTTTTTTCTTTCGACAAGCGACAGGATTGCATTGTATAATTATATCAGCCGTTTATCACCAGTTGTTGTCAATTATCCACTCCAGCAACTGGCTGGGGAACGAGCTGCCGGCTAGCCAAACACAGCCGCGCTGACGTGCCCCATCATCCGCAGCGAACAAGACGGTACCTGAGCTTTGATAGAGTCCCGTAGAGGTAGATCCCATTGGTCCCATGAGTTGAAGAAACTCAATCGCCAAGGATAGCTGTTATCGAGACCCGCCATGATGCGTTCACATGTTGACCATATGGATCGGCGGTAGGTTTCACTGTTATAACCTCGCTGAAATACAGAATTAATCCTCACGGTAAAGTATTGGTGAAACTCCGCTAATCGCGAAAATGGGAGCAAGGATTTGTATAGTCTAGTTCGCGGCGAATGAAGAGGCATGTCAGGAGAGATGGGTTTGGCAAGGCGCCAAACCCTCTTCCCACCAGTTGCTGAAGTGGGTAAGCGCCTACCAACGATATTGTACAGTCTTGTCGCCAACAACTGGTGGAAAACGGGTCTGGCGTTGCATCACTTCCATCTCGCGTGCACGCCCCTTCATCAGCAGCGAACGACACTGCAAGTGAAGACCTCCCCTCGTGCGGAACCATACACTCCCAGTTGTCGATTAAAGAGTAACTGTAAAAGAAGCCCAGCTAATTCACTTGACATACTAAGGCTTTTCCACGCTGAATCGGTTAGTCCGGTGCGAATTGCTTGCATGTCGATTTCGACGCATCGCCGCGACAAAGATCTCCCGACCGCACACGTGGGAATCGCATCAAAGTGGCTTGGTACTCAGGGTACGTCGTGGCGCAGGAGAAAGTTGTGCCCAATAGAGCCCCCAACATTCCTAGGAAGGGGGGGGGGAAGGTTTGGTGAGGGATCTCAAGGCGCCCGAAATAGGAAAAACTGACAATGAAATGTTTTCGCTAACCCAGAGGAGACCCTCCTCACTCGCTCACAACTGTATAGAACATACTCTTTCCCTCGCACAGAGGAGCTCCAGATCACAGCGCGACCTGCCTGCACTTACTTATGACATCCGTTCTACAGCAGGATGATTAACCTGTTGGCACATCATTGCTGAATCTGGTTTTCCACATCACTTTTTAATCCCCGAACCGGAGCTCTTCCCCCGCTAACATTAAGCACGAGAAAATCGCCCATGAACTGTACCCTCGGTGAACCCCTTTCTCCGCGAAAGCTTCTACGCTAACATTTTCTGCTTCGTATACTACATCATAACGACCGACACCGGCTGAACTTAAATGGACTAGTCAGGGCACATCGCACATGGGGATCTCCACTGAGGAGGGAAGGAAGTCGCTTTTGATCGAGGAAGGGGTTCGTACCAAGCAGGAAATCCAAAGAAGATTCCTATTTTGTAATGTTTTTCGCCAAGGGGCACGACGTGTTCTGCGAATAATACAGGAAATAAAAAAGGAAAAGAAGCACAAAAACTAACTATGGATGGCGCGCAGAACACAACAGCTCCAATCTCATCACGGTGCTTCTGAAGGAGGTCGAGCCAATACTGCAATAGAAGGAGTGATGCTAATCATACAGAAAATCAGACAACGGGATATATAAGATGCTCAAACATAACACAAAACGTACTTCGCTCACAATGGGATGATTCCCCCACCGGTGCAAAGCAGACACATGGAAAGAGCTGCTTGATTTTGGCACGATTCGCTCGCATGGCACTTCACGGTCGTCTACGGTGGCCGGGACGGTGAACGTTTGCAATACTCGTTCGACTTCGTTCAGCAGAAATCCAGATCGTGCACATGAGAAGTGTGGATACAGCGGGAACACTACGATGTGGTTGTAGCTATTCCTTAACATATTTCCTTGTAAAATGGAATTACTAGTAATATGAGGTAGATATCAAGTTTATTGGAAGAAAGAAACTAAAAGTAAAGTGAAGCACAATTAAAAGCGAAACCAAGGAAGCTTTATCATGTAAGACAGTAAAATTATTACCTTGTAATCATAGTTCGAAAAAGTTGCTGGAGAGTTTCAAGTTCGCAACTAGCTCACAGCCTCAGACTATGCTTTGCATGTCGGTCTAGCGATTTCCTTCTCATTAGCAGAAGCGAAAGTCAACGACTACTACATGGCTAATGCAAAGACATCCGAGCGCGCGGTCGTGCCGCGGTCAGAAATGCTGAATACTGTACAAATTACAGTGCTCATGCGAGGAGTGCGGGGCGTTCTGGCAAATGCACCGTGTTTCCGAGCCCACATTCCTTTCTTATACGTAATCTCTACCTCTATTTTGCGCGGGGCCTCGTATGCATCGTGGCCACGCCCCTCATTACCATCAGATATGCACTGTACCTTCACGCAGGAAGGATGCATCTTTTCAGTGCATGCTGCATTCCGAGCATCGCACCAAAACCAAGCGAATCTTTCTTCGTTTCGTTAACTAACATCCTAGTAAGGACGCAAAGTAGGTTCAGTGGCGCAGCTTTTCACGCGCCCACTCCACGAGCGAAACCTCGATGTTGTTCCCGACTTGGTCAAAGAAGCCTCCCATTTCTCCAGGGCCAATTAATTGGCACTGGACTCATGTGGGAGCGAGAAACAGTAATTTCCGCTTTGGTCCACGCAAGTCTTCGCATAGGGTGTCGCTCTCGAAATGCAATTGCGACTCTGAAGGGGGGGGGGGGGCAAAATAGGTAGAGCATCTTCAAGAAGGACTGATGAACGTCCGAAAGCTTTATCTACCGAAGCGGAAAGGACAAGCACCATCAGGGTACGGTTACCCAGCAGTTGAAGGGAAGGTAAAGGAGGAGGGATCAGAGAAGGAAGGAAGAAAAAGAAGGAAGGAGGGAGAAAAAAGGAAAGAGGGGAGAAG